ACGACTTTGGTGTGAAACTCTCATCATGGCCAGATATAGGTATACACACATATATATATATATATATATGGCTCGTATGCTTTTGTATATGGTAGGAGCAGGGGTCTAGAGATGGGTATATTGTATGGAATTTGTGTCGCTCGGCTCGATGATGATGATGTTGGCTGTTGGCTGTTTCGTTTGCTTCGCGTTTCCCGATAAGATAAAGTTTTGTGGCAAAATGGCAACAAAATCGAATATAGCACCAGTTTACGTATATGGTAATGATTACGCGCGAATATATAGTGAGTGGTAACTGGGCGGGACGCTGAGACGGGGCGACCGATGACGGTTGCTGTTGTCGGACCTCCCTTCAAGGGTGTTGGCTTTGGCCTAGGCAAAATACTTATGTGATAAGCCCCGCGCAGGGCACAGGCGAAAATGGTCACCATGGAATGAGTGACAATAAGCGGAAGTTCGTGGTCAGTTGATTGCGATTGCGAGGCGCGTGAACTTTATCAAAGGTGTTCACTGTAACTGTCTATATAAAAAGAGCAGCCAGCCCATAGAAGTATTTTTCGCGCGCTTGTCTGTGTGTTATCGATTTAAAAAAAAAAAAAAAAAAAAAAAAACATAGTGTGCCGACTATGGCGGCAACAAGAACAAGCACAGCGAGAGCAAACACTTCTGATTACGTGAATTGTGAGTAATAAAAAAAATATGTATGAAATAATAAAAAAATATTGAAAGTAAATTAAAAAGTGTTAAGCACTGTGGCGCCATCTAGATGCCAACGATCTCTCTATATATATATCTATGTATATATGTATATACATACATCGGGCAGCATTTCTTCCAGATTCTGCTTGAACTCCTCGACGCTTTCATGATGATCAACGTTGATAATATCAGACATTTTTGATGTATTATTCGATAGGTTTTCGGTTTCAGGGGCACTTTGGTATTTATTCAATTTGAATGTTTTCTTTGCCTCTTGCTTAGCCACTTAATTGCTGAGCAAAATAAACAAAAACAAAATAAAAATTATGCGTGAATTAAGTAAATTGATTTAAGACAAACACACGCACGCACACGCAGAAACGAAAACAAAAACATAAACGAAGGAGAAGCCACAAATGGAGCTACATATACATATGAAGAGTGGCGAGGGGGGTCGGTCAAAGGCGCGCGGACACGCGATCGTTTTGAGTGCGCGGCACGAGTGCTGAACGACAGGCGATTGAAAGCGGCTGCACCAATTAACTGTTATGTGGTTAACCTCGAGAGGGAGAGAGAGAGAGAGAGAGAGAGAAAGAGAGAGAGAGAGAGAGAGAGAGAGAGAGAAAGAGAGAGAGAGAGTGAACAGTAATGGCGCGAGAACAAAACTTGACGATTGAGCACAAGTCGCGAGAGCTTCGATTGAGCAAGCGGAAGAGAGAGCAAAGGATTTGGCAACAACTGAGTTAGCGCGCGCGATTGGTTGCAAAGGGTTGGCGAAATTACTCTGCTTGCGGGCGTTTGCTGTTAGCGCCACTGGACGAGCTGTACTACTAATTGAGCGCCTGCCGCAGTGCGCACTATTTATGCCTTTTCTTTTATCAGAAGCAGAAAACCCATGCTCTCATACTCGCGCACCTCTCCCACAAATCGAGTGCGCAGCAGAGTTTATGATAAGGCCGCTGAGTACGATCGATCGATCGATCGATGGAGACCAAACCATATTGAAGAGCGGCTGTTTTTATGCCCTGAATCATATGTGTTGCCTTGCTGTACTCTGTTTTCCTTCTTTTTCTTCTTCTTTTTGTTATTCTTTTACTTTTGGTTAGTCACATCAGCAATCAAAAGTTCTTAGCCCATTGACAAGTTAGTCATGCATCGACTGCACATTTCAATTTACTTATTTCAATTAAATTCTATTTTGATTCAATTTGCATGCCACTTGAGTTCATTAAAAAAGTCATATGAGCCAGTAATTGGCCTCTATATACGTATGTATGTACGTTTATTTGGCTATTTTGGTCATTCGCTCTGATAAGAGACACCCTAACCAGTCAACCAACCTGCCAAACAGCCAAGCGAGCAACAACAACAACAACAAGAAGCGAGCAACACCTTGCTCCACATTGAATTCAACCCGTCAGCCGGTCAGTCAGTCAGTCAACCAATTTGTGGCGATATCGATTAAGAATATCAGATTACGTTTAATAATCGTGTGCTGGGTTGTGTAATAGGGTTGTCATAACGTCGATCGGTTGAGTTAAAACAGTTTTGGCTCATTTGTATTTTATTTAAATGATCTTAAAGAATCATCTTAGCATACATTGACTGAATTTCAATAATATATTCATTTTGCTGCAACAATTTCAATAGTCATGTCAAATTTTTGATTTCTTACCTTTTTGTTTTGGCAAATGTGGCAACACTTTTTCAAGTGCCAAAAACCTTTACTGCTTACGCATCGAAATTGTATTTTTTCTTTAATACCATACAAAATTACGTAAGTATGTGTGTTTCCAGTATGTAATTGGTAAGAACTTATAAATTTGTCAAGTTATGAGACTTAAGTTACTTTTCAAGAGAGAATCCAAGAGCGCGTTGCGGTACGAGAGAGGAACAGAGAGAGAGAGAGAGAGAGAGAGAGAATGAGAGCGCCAGCGAGAGAAACATGTCACTTAAACGTAATTGGTTTTTTAATAGCCATTGTATCAGCCCGGGAATTATGTGCCAATTGCTTTTTGCCAACTAATGTCTTGTTAAACATAAATTGAATACTATTTTGTCAAAGATAAGAAAATGTTACGATAAGAACCCCAACCAAACGCAAACAGTTAGTTATTTATTAAGCTCAAGCGTTATAATTGAGCACATTCGACAAATTGGCCCAAAAACTAGCCAAGGCCCAATCTTCGCCCAGCAATCATAATTCACTTTACGCCTCTGTCTAGGTCTTCAGGATGACTAATCCCAGGCGATACAATGGCCCAACATTGTTCAAGCCAAGGGTCTTCAAGCCATATCGTTGCATGATGAGGTTTTTATTTTTGTCAGCTGGTTCGAGCCGTTGGTTTTGATGAGCTACTGCTTGTTTTTCTTTTCATATTGTTGCGATTTATTGCCCATTGTTCAGAACTGAATGCAACTGGCCCATCGGCTAATTTCGTACCCAGCTGACAGCAGGGTTAGCTTTCAATTTACATACATACGTATCGCTTACCGTTGTATTTATACAGCTTTCGGTTTAAGTGCAAAGCTGTCAATCGCCTATTTGTGATGTATGCACTTGAGCTGAGGAGTTATCGATTATATCGATAACTTTCTTTGGCCACATTTAACAGTTAGTTTGTGTTGTGTTAAGAAGGCCAAAACAAGTGCCTTAATATGTATTAAATGACAAGAAAGTTCGCGATAGTCGTATGTGATTTGAATTGTTTTTGGACACAATAAAATATATATTTTTATATGAATAAAAACTAGAAATATATGATGTCTAAAAATATTCCTTACTTTGGCTTATCTGGTTCACCAAATTGATAACATTTGACTTTCGCAATGTAAAAAAGTAACTTTTTAATCTCGAATAGTAATCAATTACATATTTTAACTGTGTCTAGTACTAATCACATGTACAACTTAATATGCATATTATAATACACATACGCATTGTACTTTAATTTACCTTGAGTGTTAACAAGTTCAAGTTCGTTTCTTGGCCTTTCCACTGGCATTGTAAAGAATCGCTTTGACGGCTTAGCCGAAAAAAACAAAACAAAAAAAAGCAGGTAAGCCAAGCAAAAAGGTCAGAAACAAACGGCAACATACACAAACCGTAATTATGATTATGACAATCAGCGCGCGAGAGTTTTGTTAATGAACTTTGTTGTGATTGTCATTTGAAGTCAATTTACAGCAAATGAAGTTCATTAGCGGGCCGAACGATGCTAAACGGTGTTGAGCTGCTTGTTTCTTTTATTCTATGCTTCTTTCCTCTCTTGAGTCATCTGCTTTGCTGACGATATTTAATCGCGGCCGGTCGTGCAATGTTTCCCGACACATCTCTAATGCTCTCTGACGTAAGCAGCTTAATTGCAGCCCACCCACAAAATGTCAGCCAAGGCGCAGTTAAGAAAACACAACAAAAAGTGTCACCAACTAGAAAACATATCTTATATACGTGTGTTTGTGCATTTATATGTATATATTTATATATACATACATATATATGTATTACATGTACTTTGTTATGGTTTGTAGTTGTCTTTCGCTTTCGTTGAACTGGTTTTGTGGCCTGGAACCAGTTACTAGTCAAATTCCAATTGCTCATGCCAGGCACGAACCTTTGTTTGCCCGCAACTTACTGGAAGTGGAGCATTCGCTGGTGACTATTTCAATATTTGCCCAAAATGCCTGCATGCAGCCAGCGTAGCTCAAGCCGGAGCTGGAGCCCGACCTCGACAACAAAGGCGGCATTACATCAGCGCAACTTTAGCGGTTGACGTTGATTGAATCGGCATCGGCATCGGCATCAATAAGTCAGTCAACAACATTGGAAACATGTTAATCAATACTGTTCACTGCGCTCTGAGTAAGTGTAGTATCTATGTACATATCTATGCACACTTTGTCATTCCTCACATTGAGGCCGAGTACATGGCACATCGATAAAGCAACCGATCATAAATAGTCAAAGGAAATCAATTGAACAAAACCTAATAATGAGCCAGCCAACCCATGATTATGTATATGCCAATGTCTTTACAGTTGTTGCTGTCATCCAAGAAATATCTTTAAATGCTGGGGCAGGAGCAGGGGCAGGGACAAACTGTAAAGTAGTTGCCTCCCGACAAAACTACAAATATTTGATTTCATGCTGTAGACTTCTAGAATTGATTGACCAGATATAATAAATGGTACATTTAGTTGCAGAATTTGCAAGTATTTAAATAATAAATATATATAATAATAATAAATTAAACAAATATATTTATAAAGTACTTAAAATGTAGATCTTTCAACAAGCCTGAACCTAACCTTAAGCATGATATAATTCAATCAAATTTCAATTGAATGTGTATACATTTTTTGTTCAACTCCCTGAGGTATTCCAATGAGATTCGAAGTAAATAATATGTCAATTTTACTTTTATTTGATTCAATGCACAGCAGTTCTCGGCAGATGACCTGTCCGAGTCATTCAGTCTTTCGAAAAATAAGTGGCCGGGTCCAAGTATCAGGTTTGTGTTCAAATGTAGCCAAAAGCCATTGGGACGCGAGCTAAAAAAGTTACTCTGATAGTTTATGAACATATCCTATATTTATAATAATAACTATAATTTCTAATAATTACCTTTTTCTTACAAACTTTCACTCTAGCTCCATTTTAATATTCTTTTAAAGAAAAAACAAATTTTTGACTTACTGTTATAGTTTGATTTTTCATTTGGCTACCGACAATTTTGTCACCTGTAGAGTCCAGTGTGTTGTCAATTTGTGTTGTCGTCTTTGTCGTCGTTGTTGTTGTTGTCGTCGTCTTCGTCGTTGTTGTTGTTGTCGTGCAGTTGATTAAAATTTGTAACACGTACAGCAAATTTGACTCTGCACGTTGTCTGTACGAGCCGAGCTTGCATGTAATAAATTTTTTATGTAGAAATTGGCAATGCGGCCAACAAGATAAAGAGTCGAGCATTACACACACAAACACACACACACACGCGCGCGCGCGTAGTGCATACACAACACACATACTTTCTCGGAAAGCCAAGTGAATTGTATAATCAGTAGTGACACATAGACGAACCAAATGACCACTTGCCCCTGCCACAATTTAACTTTTTGTGTCTGTTGTGCTGGGCGTGGCCGTGTCAGAGCGATTGCAGTTTTGAATGAAACATAATACGAATATTAGTCATAAGGATAAATGATACGTATACTCGTTACACGGGGTGAGTCAGCAGCCGCTGGGAACTACGCGCAGCTCAACAGACAAAGTCATATAGCTGACGCTTGGATTGGGACAACACACCTTAAAGGCGTGTTAATTAGCGTAAACGCTGGCCATATGACAAGCAGTTAGCAGTTAGCTGTGGCGCTGCCACCCTGGTAAATATTGGTAATGAGGCAGTAAATCGTTCGGTGTCTCTGTTTGCACATATCTCTCTCTCTCTCTCTCTCTCTATCTCTAGCTCCGCCGACAGATGCGCTGGGGCGTACGCACTTGGTTCAGGGGCAAAGTGAAAACTTGCACAGAAAAGCTGGCAAAAAAAAAAACCGATCAAAAAAACTTGGGGAGTGCATAAACATATACATATGTACATTAACGTTGTTATCGGCGCCATAAAGTAACTGTTAATCTGAGTTCATGAAACTCTGCTTAAAGCCAAAATATTAAAAAAAAAAAAAAGACAAGAGACAAAGTTGTCGCACTTACATGCGACGCAATAACGCATTAAAAATCACTTTCGCTGTATTTGTGCACAGTGGTACCAAGGCCGGCAATTCCGTTTCTGAACTGAAGCTGAGTCAGATGTTACTTCAGTCTTTATTAAAAAAAAAATGCATTTTTTGATATCTTTATGACAAAAAATGTACTTTATAATTGAATAATAAATCAACATTTATGCATGCATACATGTTATTTATTGATTTCATAATACTTATCACGTATTGTGCACACTGTACGTGTGGTAAGTAAATGTGTATCTTCATTTTTCATCATTTGCTGCATTTAAAATTCCAAATGCACTGATGTCATTGTATGGTATCTACATACAAATATAAATGCGAAATCAACTGTCATTTCCAATGCCTCACTAGACCACTGTACTCGTCGTGTTGCACGACTTTTGAGTGACACTGTAAATTGTTTGGCATATGCATTAATAAATGGAACGTCATATGGGCTTTGTCTAAATGTAAAGAATTTAAGTGGATGCATAAGTAGCCTCCTCCATTCCCCTCCGTACTTCGTGCACTTAAAGTGCACTTGATAAAAGCCAAGCGCAGCCACAAAAATAACAAAAACAACAAACGCAATTGTTGTTGCTGTGTGAATGGGCACAGAAACAACAACAACAACAACAACAACAACGACGACTGCAGACCTAATAAACGCAACCCAATGAATTATGTGCCTGCCTACCCAATTCTTTCATCCAACTTAAGACATGCAAGCGGCAAGCGTTCTGATAAGCCATAAAAATATGTGTGCATATGTATTTACATATACATATAAATAGATACATACATACATATATGAATGGACAGACACTCAAAATGCAAGACTTAGCGGCAATTACTGCTGACAGTCCCACGCACAGGCCGAAAAGACAAACAACAGCAATGCTTTGTGCGAGTGTCTGGCAACTCTGTTTCTGATTGACATAAACAAAAGCAAAGTCAGCATAGTTGAAGGCAGCGAGCGGCCACTTAAATGCGGAACAAGTCGAGCTCGGTCTCTTTTTCTTTCCCCCTCTCTTTTACATACTCATCAACTGACTGCAACTGGCTGCATTAGTCATCGCAGCAGCAAAAGCTCTGATTAATAAAATCAACAGCAACAAAAATCCACTTTCAAGTGTCAATCAGTGCGAGTGCCAGTATTATTTAGCGTGCGACTCCCCCGCACAATGTCCGCTGCCACCACTGCACTCATTGTTATTTTTAAGCAGCGCGTTTCTCTCTTAGTTATCCTTTTTATCGTTTCGCTTGCCACGACTTTTTATGAGTGCGCGCGCGCGCTTGTAACAATGACACATTGTGTTTAGATTAACGCTACGCGCGTGCGCTCCCGCGCCTCTCGCTTAACTGTTAATAAACGCAAATGCATTAAGCGACGAGTGGGCGGACGAAGACGCAGTAGAAGCAATTACAGTTGGCAAATCGAAAAACTACACCTGAAAGCTATTAAACGTGTGAGCGATTGTGTCCATGTGTGTGCATAAGTACTATAAAGAAATTGTACAGAATTACAGCTGCCCCTTGAACCAGACAGCGGGGCTAAATAACATCGCCGCTGATGAGTATGTACAGTGGACGCTCCCTTGGACAAACATAATATTTAGCCGCCCAACTTTTTTCGTTACTTTTTCAAAACAATTACACTCCGGCATAGAGCCTACATTAACTGGACACAGACACTATTTTTTTAGCAGCGACTCTCTATCCCTACATATATACATATATTTCGGTATATTTCCTAGCAGGACAAGAAACGGAATGCAAATCGCGGATGTCTGCCCAAGATGGCTTTCACTGTATTTGCTCTTCGTCTCTGGTTTACGGGCTGCTGGCGGCTGCTGAGTCGTAGTTTTTCACGCTCTCCCATCTTTGCAAGTGTCTCTGTATGTGTTTGTGTTTTTATTTTAAGCTGAAACTGGTTTCTGTTTGCCTTCTTTGCTCTGTCGTGTTGTCATACCATGAAAATACTTACGTCCATGCATACCCACATACATTTGAATGTATGGGTATGTACATATATATTATTCAAATGTTATTTTCGCGAAATTCATATGAAATTCCAAGTAAAGTGAAAGAAGCATGCGTTGTCTTGCCGCTACCTAGTTTGACGCGGATTAGTCATGTTGTGGAAGGAGGGGGTTTGGAACGGGGAATGGTGGGTAGGCAGACATTGAACTTGTGCGTCAGCAGGGGCAAGGCGCATGCGCTGCTGCTGCTGCGGCTTTGATTTTGCACTGGCTCGTCTGCATGCACAGCAAGACATGCCGTGGCCACCACCCAAGGGAACTTGTTTTTCCCCATGCACTGCGTCGCGCTCCCCCACGCACACATACACACGCATATATTTATACTTGTGTACATATGTATATATGCATGCTGGCTGGAGCATTACCGTTAGCTGTTGTTGATGTCGCTCTCTTCATGGGGGGTTGTTGAAGGCCATTGTCGCTGCCGCAGCCGACGTCGACGCCGACACCCACATGCACCGGTTAACGGTTTTTCGTCGCAGCGCACCGCGCTTCTATATGACTCATGCAATTGAGTTTCAAGCTCCTCCTCCCCCACCCAACCCTTTACAGTGACGCCAAAAAAAAGATTACAGTTGCACATATCGATTTAACATTTGAATATATGTTCATACATACAGACACATGTGTATATGTTCGTACTTTTTGTTATGCTAATGACGATTTAGATTCTTAACTTACCTCTGTGAATTTCTCTTTTATCTCAGCCTTTTCATCATTGGATAAAGTTTTTGTAAATTTGTTTAGTGTTGCCATTTTGTTATTATTTCTCTTGTGTTGTTGTTGTTGGTGGTGCTGCTGGATGCTGTTGTTCTTGTTGCTGTTGTTTTTTGTTTGTTATATTGGCTATTATTTAAATAAATTATAAAGTTAATTTCACTTTATCGCTACAGTCGCTGCCTCCGTCGCTGTCGCCGTTTTGCCGCTCTCTTATTGTTTTTATTGTGCGAAAAACTGCGCTAGCTGCGTCGCGTTGCGTCGCTGCCGACTGTTATGCTGTGTTGGTGGTGGGTTTGTGTGCTTGTTGGAGCTGGGCTTGGGTGGGAGGGGGGTCAATAGTGACACTTTCTTTTGGGTGGCGTTGGCGGCGGCTTTTATTTATGGCTGTTATTGTTGTTAATTCTTTTACGCTACTGCGCTGGATAATTGCTATTTAGCTATTTTCTCAATTTTGTTATTGCTTGCTTTTCGCCTCTTTCTTTCTATCTATGTTTTGGCACACGATGCACGATTTTTGCACTTAACAAAATATGAACCTACAAAATCTGGTCTCACTCTCCACTCGTATTTACACGTTGCTCTAAGCTCAGCTTATTTGCTTTTTTTTCGACTTTGGCGGTTTTGCCGGCTTCTGTTTGCGTACACTTTGTTATTTGATAATCAATAACAATAACTCGACACTTTATGTATTGCTGGCAGGGCACACGAACCACGCGCAAGAAAGTCTGAATTAAAACTGATATGGCGATAAACAGTGTGACCGCTAGTGGCATACGAAAATATCTACATAAAATACTAACATTAACATTTTAATTTTTCAAAATATGCCGATAAAAATGCGGTTTTTAAGAATTGTGAGCAATTAACATTATTAATAATTTAAAAATAAAAATGGTTGAAAAAGGGGGAGGGGGTTAAAAATACAATTTGTGCTAAACGATTATTTTATATCTCACATTTACATAGGATCAATGAAAAGCTAATATAGCGTAGGTGACACTTTAGCGCCATTGCTTAACATTAGAAAAAAAAATCCGGCTAGCGCATAAGGTCTTATTTAAAAAAATACTTATTGACTACGGCTAAAAAACTCGTTAAAGCATTTTAAACGAATATTTCGTAAGCCTCAACTTAAAAATAAACATGCGCAAATTAGAGTCAACATAATTCTGTTAACGCGTCATATAGAGGTTACACAGAGTTGTTAAAGGCCAACGCCAAATCAAAACTGGCTGGCAACCCTGTGCTGGCGCAAATAAAAATATTGTGGTGTAGCTGTTTATTTATGTGTTTTGTGTCAAAATAAAATGCACATTAAGCAGGTGGGTAAACAACAAAACGCTAACTGCTTGATTGGCTCCCGCTTATTATCGAATATTTGCAGATTATAATACAAGGCTTTAAAAGTTACAAGGACCAGACGGTGGTGGAGCCATTCGATAAGCGTCACAACGTCGTTGTCGGACGCAATGGCTCTGGCAAAAGTAATTTCTTCTATGGTAAGCTTATTCTGTTTATTGAATTGTTCTTACCATAAAAAGATTTACATTTATCTTAATATAGCTATACAATTCGTGCTGAGCGATGAGTTCACGCATCTCCGTCCGGAACAGCGTCAAGCCCTACTGCACGAGGGCACAGGCGCCCGCGTCATATCGGCCTATGTAGAGATAATATTTGACAACTCGGACAATCGTGTGCCGGTAAGTGAGAAAGTGCAGTTATATGGGATATGTTGATAATTTAGCCGCTTAAATGTATTGCAGATTGACAAGGAGGAGATTTACTTGAGGCGCGTTATTGGCGCCAAAAAGGATCAGTATTTTTTGAACAAAAAGGTGGTGCCACGCAATGAGGTCGTCAATCTGCTCGAATCGGCCGGTTTCTCCAGCTCCAATCCCTACTATATTGTCAAGCAGGGTAAAATTAATCAAATGGCCACCGCTGCGGACTCGTATCGGTTGAAGCTGCTGCGTGAGGTGGCGGGCACGCGTGTCTATGATGAACGCAAGGAGGAATCGTTGAATCTGTTGAGGGAAACCGATGGGAAGGTGGAGAAGATTAGCGAATATCTAAAGACTATTGAGGATAGGCTGCAGACGCTGGAAGAGGAGAAGGAGGAGCTGAAGGAGTATCAGAAATGGGATAAAACAAGACGCACCCTGGAGTACATACGCTACGAGACGGAGCTGAAGGATACGCGGCGCGCGCTCGAGGAGCTGCTACTGCAGCGCAAATCCTCATCGGACAAGAAGAAGAACTATAACATTGAGATACAAAAGGCACAGGAGAAGATCAAGGAGGTGCAGAAGAACCTTAAGGAGGCCAAGAAAAAGGTGCTCAGCACGAAGGAGGAACGCTCAGTCCTAATGACAGAACAGCAGCAATTGCTGCGCGAAAAGACCAAACTAGACCTGACCATAGTCGATCTGAATGACGAGGTGCAGGGTGACAACAAGTCGAAGGAGCGCGCCGACCAAGAGCTCAAGAATCTCAAGGTGACCATAGCGGAGCGCGAAAACGAACTGGACGATGTGAAGCCCAAATACGAGTCGATGAAGCGTAAGGAGGAGGATTGCTCGCGCGAGCTGCAGCTCAAGGAGCAAAAACGCAAGGAGCTCTATGCCAAGCAGGGGCGTGGATCGCAGTTCTCGTCGCGCGAGGATCGCGACAAATGGATACACAATGAGTTGAAATCGATTAGCAAACAGACCAAGGACAAAATCAACCATCACGCCAAACTGGTCGAGGATCTGAAAAAGGATGCAACCTCCGAGAAAGATTTGGGCACCAAGATCGAGGAGCACTCCTCCGAACTGGAACAGCTGCGCCTCCAAATAGACGAGCACAACAAAAAGTACTATGAACTGAAGAAAACAAAAGACCAACACCAGTCCATGCGCAACGAGCTGTGGCGCAAGGAAACACAAATGACCCAACAGCTGCAGACCCAAAAGGAAGAGCTGTCGCGCGCGGATCAGGCGCTGCGCAGCATGGCCGGCAAGCCAATACTTAATGGCTGTGATTCGGTGCGCAAGGTGCTCGATAGCTTTGTGGGACGCGGCGGTCAATCGGCGGCAATAGCACGCGCCTATTATGGTCCGGTTATTGAGAACTTCAGCTGCGACAAGACAATTTATACGGCCGTCGAGGTGACCGCAGCGAATCGCCTGTTCCATCACATTGTGGAATCGGAATACGAGGGCACACAGATCCTCAAGGAGATGAACAAACTGAAGCTGCCCGGCGAGGTGACGTTCATGCCGCTAAATCGGCTCCAAGTGAAAATACACGACTATCCAGATGATCCGGACTCGATACCAATGATATCGAAGCTCAAATACGATGAACAGCACGACAAGGCGCTGCGTTATATCTTTGGCAAGACGCTGATCTGTCGTAATCTGGAGCGTGCCACGGAGTTGGCCAAGAGCACGGGCCTGGATTGCGTTACGCTCGATGGCGATCAGGTGTCCTCGAAGGGCTCCCTCACCGGCGGCTATTTCAATACGTCGCGCTCCCGTCTCGAAATGCAAAAGAAGCGCACGGAGTACACACAACAGATAACCGAGTTCGAGAAGCAGCTGAGCAAGCTGCGGAATGAGCTCAAGTCGACCGAGAACAGTATCAATTCGATTGTGTCTGATATGCAAAAAACGGAGACCAAGCAGGGCAAGTCGAAGGATGTGTTCGAGAAGGTGCAGGGCGAGATACGTTTGATGAAGGAGGAGCTGGTGCGCATCGAGAAATATCGTGCGCCCAAAGAGCGTTCCTTGGCGCAATGCAAGGCCTCGCTGGAGGCGATGAACAGCACCAAGGCCAGCCTGGAGGCGGAGCTAAAGCAGGAGCTCATGTCAACACTATCCAAGCAGGATCAGGGTGAAATCGATCAGCTGAACGAAGATATACGGCGTCTCAACCAGGAGAACAAGGAGGCCTTCACGCAGCGTATGCAGCTGGAAGTGCGCAAAAATAAATTGGACAATCTGCTGATTAACAATCTGTTCAGGCGACGCGATGAGCTGACACAGGCGCTACAGGAGATCTCTGTGGAGGATCGCAAGCGTAAGCTAAACAATTGCAAAACGGAGCTCGTTTCGACGGAGAAGCGCATCAAGAAGGTCAATGCGGATCTGGAGGAAATTGAGAAGCGGGTCAATGAGGCTGTACAGTTGCAAAAAGAGCTGCAGCTGGAGCTGGAGACGCATGTGCGCAAGGAGAAGGAGGCCGAGGAGAACATCAACAAGGATAGCAAACAACTGGAGAAATGGACCACCAAAGAGAATATGCTGAATCAGAAAATCGACGAGTGCACCGAGAAAATTGCCAGCTTGGGCGCACTGCCCCAAGTGGATGCTGCCTACACACGCATTTCGCTAAAGAACATCTTTAAGGAGCTGGAGAAAGCCAATCAGCATCTGAAGAAATACAATCACGTAAACAAGAAGGCCCTCGACCAGTTCTTGAGCTTCTCCGAGCAAAAGGAGAAGCTCTACAGGCGCAAGGAGGAACTTGATGTGGGCGATCAGAAGATACACATGCTTATCCATTCACTGGAGATGCAAAAGGTCGAGGCCATACAGTTTACATTCAAGCAGGTCGCCCAGAACTTTACCAAGGTTTTCAAGAAACTGGTGCCGCAGGGCGCCGGATACTTGATACTGAAGACCAAGGACAACGAGGGCGAGGAAATGGAAAAGGAGGTGGCCAATTCGGATGCCTTCACGGGCATCGGCATACGCGTCTCCTTTACCGGCGTCGATGCTGAGATGCGTGAAATGAATCAGCTATCCGGTGGCCAGAAATCTCTAGTGGCTCTCGCCCTCATCTTCTCCATACAGAAGTGCGATCCGGCGCCCTTCTATCTATTCGATGAGATCGATCAGGTAAGCCGACTTCCAGTTGATAGCTTGGGCTGTATTAACTCAGCTCCTCTTCAAACAGGCACTGGACGCAATGCATCGCAAGGCGGTAGCCGATATGATACACGAGCTAAGCGACACGGCCCAGTTTATTACCACCACGTTCCGGCCCGAATTGCTGGAGAATGCGCACAAGTTCTATGGCGTACGGTTTCGCAATAAGGTCAGCCACATTGATTGTGTTACCCGCGAGCAGGCCAAGGACTTTGTCGAGGATGATAATACACACGCTTAGACACGTACCGCAACACACTGCCTAACAATCCTTAACCCCTCCCCCTCCCCACGCCTCCCCCCAACCCCTCCCACAAACATTCAAGCATTTCTTAGTGATTAGGCTTAATTTGTTTTTCATATTTCCTACAATTATCATTTTTTTTTCAACTTGATTTTCCTTAAAGCAACATTTGTAAAGCCTTAAGTCTGTTTGTATTGTAATTGTCCTTGCTATACACTTGACCTGGCTAAGCAAAGTCTCAAACATTTTAAGTATATGTATCTGATTTGTGAAGAGGCTTGCTTCCATCAAGTACACAGTATGTGTCTGTACTCGTAATAAACGCAGAGATATTTACATATATATATAAATATGGTATTTTACACGTGGATTGTACTATCCTAAAACGGGAAACTGTATGTGAAATGTACTTTTGTAAAGCATCGATAATAAGTTCAAAAATGTTCCAACGAAAATATAGTTTCCCTGCTATCTAGGTCCGTTTTTCCGCCGAGGAGTGTGGAATGATTTCCAATGAATTCTCGCATTGATCTTTAAGAATGAGTGGAAAGATAATGGGTTGAACATTTGCGAGTGGATGCGCTCTTATTTATGTTGAACTTTGAAAAGTAGTTTGAAGCAGATTGGATGAATCTCTAATGGTCTGATCGTCAATCAGTCAGTCACATCTATAAGTATAAGCTATAGATATCCAATGAGTTATGGATATACAAAACATTCGTTTATTGACTATAAATCCATTTGAATGAATCTCGAATTAACAAGGTATAAAAATCAACTCTTAATATAAATATGTCTTGAAAATGTTGTGCTAAATGCAGCATCAATTATAAGGTTAACAATGCCTCGTCACGTCGTCGGTCATCCTCTCCTGCTTTCGAGCAGCTCCTGCGTGGCATTAATAGCGAAAATGACAGAGAAACACATGCCAACAGTTTCCACCTCCAGGGCTGTGATGTTGTAGCGCAGCGTTAAGCGCCAAAGTACAAAGTTATTAAGCAGAACCAACAGGGCCAAGCCCAAGGACCACCAGTACTCATCAAATATGGCAATGCGCCAAAGGCAATAGACATTCCATAGCACGCACACTGTCAGATTGAAGCGTTCCAATTTGACCAGAACCGTCGCAGGCGGCGACTTCTCGCTGAGGCAGCTGCGCACGCTGGCCAGTGTCAAGATGCTGGAGTACAGGACGAGGACTACGTAGCGCCAACTGCTGCTGCCAGCACTTAGCTGATTGACATCGGAAATGCTTTGCAGCTGACCCACGATCAGTGTGACGAAGATGACCGGCGCATACCGTAGAGATTGGTCGCAAATCCGCCGCTGCACCTGGCCGGGATTAGGATGCGTGTAGCGCAGAATACAGAAGACGCTATGTGCAAAGAATAATCCATAGGCGACCAGAGCATGCCGGCCAACGCTGTAGTGTTTGAGTGCCCATCCGGAACTGACGGCCAATATAAAATTCAGCAGACCCAATGATAGCTTGGAAGATAGCGAGCTAATGGCGCTGAGAGCCATAAAGACAGATGGTCAAAACAAGCAAACAAACAAACTAAACTAAAATTGCTATTGTTATTGTTGTCAATGGAGCTGCCGCGACGATATACATATCGTAATTTTTCAAATTAATCGATAAAAACGAATGGGCATTTTAGTGTTGGGTAATTGTATTATGCTACACTAGCTCAGCGATAGTTGAACAAATAATAATAAAAGTAAATATATTTTTTCTGCAAACCAAGGCTAATTTATGTACTTAAAATATTATCTTAATATAAATGCCCCAAGTGTAGTGTAAGTTTCAAAAATTAACTAGTTTTCAAGATTTTTGGCACTCCAACGAACATTAATTCGTTCATAAGCTCATAAACTACCATCACTAAGCGAACGCTCAATTTGTTTTTGGACGCCCGCGAGAGATTTGTATTTTTGTTTTTGGTTCGTTTCGCGTTGCTGCTCTGCCGAATTTTTACAGTTAGTTTCGAACAACGCCAGCAAAATGGCGACGCCAAATGGATTTAAACTGTTCAGAACAGTTGATCCGGCCACAGTTAATGTACCGATCAAAGAAAAATTCGCTAAACTGACGCTCTCCTCAAGCAAGAAAAAACAGCTTGCATTAAAGGAACAGGAACCGAAGTTTCAATCGGAAGCGGAGGCCCTCAAAAGCCACAACGTGAGCCGCCAACTGTTGGGCGAGTTAAATGATCTCAATAAGCAAACGACTGCTAAGCCCTACGAGCATCCACTGTTGCGAAGCGACTCCTCATCGTCCAACGCCATGGGACAGGAGCACACGCCCCAGGCCCTGCAGGATGCGAGCTCAGAGCCCGATGTCTCCGACTATATGGAAGCATTGCAGCTAAGCGGTGACGGTTGCACACAACGTTCACTCGTCCTAGATGTGGAGGCGTTATCCACGCAGGTGTCTAACTTGACAATGCAGCCGGAAAAAAAGCTGCTGCAGGAGGTGTCCATTTGCATATCATCAACAACCGAAGAGGGCGACGATGATGATAGCGAATCCTGCATCACCATATCGGATACCAGTGACAGCGTGCATGCTCAGCAGCTGGAGCAGGCGAAGCAGCCACCGGCTGAAGAGCAGCCGCAGGAGACAAGCATGACAGTAAGCGGGCAGCTGGTACCAACAGCAGCAGAGTTACTGCCAGATCCGCTGTCCAATGACAAAGTGAAGCTCATTGAGGCTTTTCTGCGTGACGTATCCTTCGAGCGCCGTAAGAGGATTCAGCGAGGACAAGCAGACATGTCAGCCGAGCATACGCGCCTGGCTAGTGCGGACACGGAATCGATGAGCCAATTAGACGTTGACTTAACACAATTGCCGTCGTGCTTAACCACGCCCACTTCCACGCCGAAAGCGCAACTGGACAGCAGCAAACGCTTGGCGGATAATGACACGGAGATAAACACGTTGTGCTCCGAGGAACGTTTCGAACTAGACAACAGCAAACGGCTAGCTTCGAATGACACAGAGGTAAACACACCCGACCAAGAGGTGCCGCTGTCCGAGCTATCGGGTCAACAGTCCACGATGAACGAGGTGCATCTGGATGAAACCATTCCGGAGACCAGCAGCGAGGTAGAGCAGTCACCGCCAAGGCCTCGCTCATCTTCATCGGCTGAGGAAGTGGCAAACATACCTGCCATACAAGTGAGCAGTATTAATATATCGGCAAAGATCAACATTAAAATACACATACCTAACATGGACTCGAGCTCAGCCGAATCCGAGCATTCGGAGCAAAGCTATGTGCAAGCCGCGCCATCATCAGAGGCACGCGCAGAGCCACAACAACAGGATCGAGTGGAGCAACAGCAGCTGCAGCAGGAATGTGAGCAGCAACAGGAACAGGAGCGATCCGTGCTAAGCGGGGACGCTTCAGAGGATGAGCAATTTCTGACACAAGCCGAAAAGCTGCTGAATCAATTATACGGCAAGTCCTGGCAAACGCCGGATGTTATACGCACGCTCAAACGCTCCAGCGGCAGCGGTGGCAAAGCTGCACCTGCGCGTACACCAGCGCTAGCGGCTGCAATAGACCGCACTCCACTCACCGAGATAAGGCGGCAGCCTAAGGCTCAACGCGCCGCAGCGACAACAGTGAAGAAAGGAGCGCAAAACGAGAGCGCACTGGGCGACTTCAGCATATGTATGTAAAAAGTGCGCTGTGCCCATTCAGATAGTGCTTGACTTATGTATCTTTATGATTTTCCAGTCAAGCGTGCACTCCACTCCACCAAATTGAATTCGACCCACTTGCCAAAATCTGCCTGCAGTGAGAAGCGTCCGAATGGACAGCGCACACGCACCAAACATGTGCACGAGGAGCGCTGGCGCGCCCTTGTCGATACGGACAGCGGCACCGATGCCTCCGATGACGACGATGCGGATGCAACGGGCAGCAGTGACCCTGATGATGCCGCTGACGGTCATGTCACCTACTTGGACCTAACCAAAGCTGAGGTGGAGGTGGTCAACGATCCCGATGAGCAAATCGAATGTGAGTATAAACTGCTTCTCCTTGGTCCTAAACCAGGGTGTGGGAGACAGAGACAGAACGGAACGGAGAAACATACGGACATGGCTACGTCGACTTGGCTGTTAAAGCCTATCACGAATATGAATTCATTATGAAGTGGAAGGCATACATATTAGATAACATCTGCCATTACATACATATTTTCCCAATTTTCACAGCGCCGAAATTTCCCAAACGGCTTGACGACATTTTGCGGACCTGCCGCGCCAGCGATAAGCCTAAATTGCCTGCCACGCCGACGTCGCAGTCGCCGTCGACGCCGGCGCTGGCAAACCCGACACGAAGACAGCTATTTACACCAAATACGGGCTATGAGGACATTAGCTCAGCTAAACGGATTGTGGATCAAGCACTCGACTTGGACAGTTTGGATCAGTTGGAGAACGTCTATTTGCCGGGCTCAACAGTGCACAAGCGTGTGCAAGAGGTCAAAAAGCAGCTGGGCATTGCAGTTGAGTCGCCAAAAGCGAAACCAATATTTAAGTTGCCCACATCACAAACAGCGACGCCATCCAGGTCAGCGGCACGCGCAAGGAAGGTGCAAAATGGGCCGAGCGCGCCAAGGAATAATGCCGGCAAAGCCAGCTTCATCAAGTCGCTGGAGCCACAGATCACTCGAGATCGTTGCGACAATGAGGCATTCTTCTATCGCGAGAACTTCAACCGTAACAAAGAGCAGCTGGCGGAACGACTCTACGACATGTTTAATGAGCAGATCTTCAACAATGAACTGAAGGTGCCCATCACCTGGTCGAAGCTGTTGCGCAACACGGCGGGCAGATGCAAAAATAAAAAGAAGTGAGCGACATTTTCATATAAACATAAACAGATTACCATGTTCTTGCTTGCAGACTGCTGGAACGCAGCAGCGTTGTGGAGCTAAGCATTAAGGTGCTGACAAGTGCAGATCGATTGCGGTGCACGCTAATCCATGAGCTGTGCCATGCCGCGGCCTGGGTATTCAACGGTGAGGGCGGACACGGTCTCGTTTGGAAGCGTTGGGCACAGCGTGCCAATGAGAAATTTCCAGATCTTCCACCGATTCGAGTTTGCCACAACTACAACATCGAGTTCAAATACACATATAAGTGTATAGAATGCAATACATCGTGAGTACAGAAGGTGCATTTACAAATGTAATCTACTTAACGGTCATTCCATGCGTCTACAGCTCTCATGCGCATTCCCGTTCGCGCAAGGTGGAGAACTTACGCTGCCGCATTTGCCGTGGACCCATTATGCTGCTCCTGAATAAGAAGGACAAGTCGGGCAATATTGTGCCGACGCCGGTGCGTGAGGCGACGGGTTTCGCCAAATTCGTTAAGGATAACTTTCAAAAGCATAAACGTGACAATCTCACCGCGGCGCAAGTAATGCGCATTCTGAGTGCCGAATACGCCAAGGAGAAGGGCAAAGGTCAGCTAACAAAGAAGGAAGAAGCGGCCGCGCAGGCCTTTATTGTTGATCGAGTGGAAACCTTGACATTAGACAGCAATGAATATAACTAAGCCTAGTACAGCTAAAATGAGTACGACATTTTGCATTTTAATATATAGTCTTAAAGTTATATATATATTTTAATACCTATATATTTTATATCTGACGTTTGTTTAATGTAAATTACCGTTTAAAGCATTGCTTTTAATTAAAATAAAACCACTCTGGATTAACAGTTGGCATTTGATTTATCAGTTTTCAGTGCTGTGCAATTAATCGGCATAACGATTGTAAACTCAGTGTTATCGATGTTGCTGGGTATTGTCGATTTGTGCAAGACTGGCATCTGTGACGTCACAATTAGTTTAAGTATTGAGGACTCTGGTTAGTTTTTGAATGAAAAACACGAAAATTAAAGTATCATTGGGTGTGGTGCATGTATTAAAGCTGTATGTGGCAAGTAAACACTGTATTTCTGGCTTTTATCTTGTCTGTCGCAAAGGCAACGCAAGCAATTGTGACATCAACAATAGATTGTCAGTGCGCTGTGCGCTGTCATCACTTACACACATACGCACGCAATCGTAAACATTTTGTTGCAGAACCGAACACGTCAGCTACGCGGATGTGGATTGATTGACAAACAATTTGTTTTGATCATTCCCAGTCAGTTAATTTACTGCTCGAGCTACACATAACTGCAAAGTATTTCCAAGTATTCGTTAGCTGATTCAAATAACGCTGCATCAAAATGGTAAGCGCACACACAACACACAAACATACATGCACATACTTACACGCTTCTACGTCGGCTATTTCGCTTATCTCATTTACGTTTACTTTAATCCTAGGTACTCATTGCCGCGGCAGTCTGCACAAAAAATGGCAAAGGTAAGTGAAAAACTCAAACGATGTATTTTTAATGTGTTAACTTTGTACTCACACACACGCACACACACATGCACGCAGTCATATTGTCACGTCAGTTCGTGGAGATGACTAAGGCGCGCATCGAAGGACTGTTGGCTGCATTCCCCAAGCTCATGACAGCCGGCAAGCAGCACACTTATGTGGAAACGGACTCGGTACGCTATGTCTACCAGCCGATGGAGAAGCTCTACATGCTCCTGATAACCACAAAGGCCAGCAACATTCTAGAGGATTTGGAAACTCTTCGCCTTTTCTCGAAAGTGGTGCGTGTATTTGTATACACAATTGTTTTTTCTTGAGATCTACAGTTTCGCATTTAGTATTTTCCTACTGAACTTACCGATAATCTCTCATTCAATGTCCATATAGATTCCAGAGTACAGCCACTCGCTGGACGAGAAGGAGATTGTGGAGAATGCATTCAACTTGATATTTGCCTTTGATGAGATTGTTGCACTTGGCTACAGGGAGAGCGTAAATCTGGCGCAAATCAAGACTTTTGTCGAGATGGACTCGCATGAGGAGAAAGTCTACCAGGCAGTTCGTCAGACACAGGAGCGTGAAGCTCGCCAAAAGATGCGCGAGAAGGCCAAGGAGCTACAGCGTCAGCGTATGGAGGCCCCAAAACGTGGTGGCCCCTCAATGGGAGGCATGGGCGGACGCAGCGGCGGCTTCAGCTCCGACAGCTTTGGCAGCAGCGGCATCAGCAGTGGTAGCGGCGGCAGCGGTGGCAGCGGCGGTGCACCATCCATAGAAATGGAAGCCAAGCATGTGTCCAGCAAGGCGGCACAGTCAGTTGAAATAATTCGAAAATCTTGTCTCAAGCATATTTAAATATCCAGTCGTCTCTTGCAGGAAACCGGTATCTCGCAATGCGCTCAAATTGGGTGGCAAGTCCAAGGATGTGGACAGTTTTGTTGACCAGCTGAAGAGCGAAGGCGAGAAGATTGCCAATCTGGCACCAGCAGTTGCTGCGGGCAGCTCCGGCGCAGCGGCCAGTGCTAGTGCAGCAGCTAAAGCCAAAATCTCAGCAGATATTCATACGGAAAGGTAAATCCGGAAATTCACTAGACTGCACAAATTATTGAGGACCCATTCTTACAGTGTACATCTCAAAATGGAGGATAAGTTGGTGGTGCGTCTGGGACGTGATGGTGGCGTACAACAGTTCGAGCTCAGTGGCTTGCTGACGCTGCGCATTACCGATGAAAGTAGAGCACATATCAGGGTGTTGCTAGCCAATAATGATACACAAGGTATACAGCTGCAGACCCATCCAAATGTTGATAAGGAACTATTTAAATCGCGCGCCATGATCGGACTCAAGATCCCCACCAAGCCGTTCCCTCTTAACACCGATGTGGGTGTCCTCAAGTGGCGCTTCATTACGCAGGACGAATCGGCTATACCTCTGACCAGTAAGTGACATTTGCCCATGGAACAGAGGCGCGTTACATTTTTTTACTAATGTTTTTGTCTCTGTTCTTATCTGTCTGTCTTTCTTCATTCCATTGCATAGTTAACTGTTGGCCTTCGGACAATGGAGAAGGCGGCTGCGATGTGAACATTGAATACGAACTGGAGGCACAACATCTGGAGCTACAGGATGTTGCCATAGTTATACCATTGCCGTAAGTAATAATGTTATGGTATCCTTAAGGTTATCTAATTGATCTTTCCTATATTACAGCTTAAATGTCCAGCCTTCGGTAGCCGAATACGATGGCACCTACAAGTATGATGCTCGCAAACATGTGTTGTTGTGGAATATTCCCATCATTGATGCGGCCAACAAGTCCGGCTCGATGGAGTTTAGCTGCAGTGCCTCCATTCCAGGCGATTTCTTTCCGTTGCAAGTGACATTCGTCTCTAAGACGCCGTATGCGGCCATAAGCGCCCTAGATGTCGTACAGGTGGATAATAATGAATCGGTCAAGTATTCAAGCGAAACGATTCTTTTTGTGGAAAAATATGAAATTGTTTAAACTATATACACGCATGCAGAAAAGGACAGATACACACATAAATATACACACATACAGAGTTACACTATCAGCAGATGTAGTATACCTAGAATCGAAACAATTTATGTACGATTATATAAATGTTAAAACAATGTTTACATACATATATATATTTCCACATAAATGTACGCATCAAGCCGCGATGCACTTGTGAAGTCGCAATACGGCCAACAATAATTCCAAATGGCATGTGCTCCACAGCAATCATCATAGAGTATATATAACACAATATAAAATACATAAATATTTTTATTACCTGCGCGGAATGCAGCATCTAATTTGAGTTAAAAAAAAATTGTTAATTATAGTTGGCATTGTAATAGTGAATTTTGTTTACTGTGCTCACAGGCAAGCAAATTGCAAGAAAATATTGCAATAATTTGCGTATTTTTTTATGTTAACTGCTATAAACAAAATACATACAGTGCTTTGATTTTCTTATATTATTTTTAAACAAAATTTTCAGAATAAGGAAGCGGCTAAAAATATCAATTGATTTCCAATCGCCGATCCTGTTAGAATTTTTAATTTTTTTATACTTAATATATTGTTGATTCTGGAATAACAATAATATTTGTTGATTGGAACAAGCCCAATTGGAGTCCGACATCGACAGTGAAGTATCGACATCGATCCAGCAAGATTTTTATTGTAACTAAAATGGATATGTCTTTGACCAAGAAATCGCACAATCGCATTTATATGCATTCCTATGAACTAGATATAAAAACTTTTCTCTGATCTTTATTGGCGGCTTCTAATTTCAACTTTTATTCAAATTGGATAAGTGCTGCAAATCGCTGTGTTTAGTTTATCGCACTATGCAGCACTGTCGCACAGCGCCATTTTGCGATAGTCAGTGTTATCGATAGTCAAGTTCTGAACTAGCATTGTTTTGGTTTTTCTTTGTTTTCAGTTTTAGAATTGTCGGTCAATTTACAATTGGACAAATGGAGCAGCAGCTAGAAAAAGTGTTGAGTGAAATGTACGTATTGCGTAACCATTACTACCATTACTAACTTGCCCCTTATGCAGTGTAACACAACAAGACACCGTGGGTGTGTTACTGGCGAATCGGCAAGGGCTCTGCTTGGGCGGTGAGTAAAACAAAAAAGAGTGCAACCATGTGTGTAATCCATAATTATTTGATTTTGTAATGCGGACTAGCCAAAGGCAATATCAATCCCAATGTATCTGGCATTGGTATGGCCATATCCGAGCAGGTGGCAAAGCTGGAGCCGAATAGCACTGTGCCAGCCACCGTTTGTCTCTACAGCGGCAATAAGTAAGTACTAGCAAACTAACTAACTAGTAAACAAGTCCCATTAAAATGTTTAAACTTTCAGGCGCTGTCTTATTCAAAAGGATGGCGAAATAACGGGAATCATTTATAAGCAAACAACAACAGCATCGACATCAACCAGCAATTAGCATGCTGTCGTGTTCCTAGTGTCTTGGGCCAAATTGAGACAAATTTCTTCCAAATGCGCTCGAGTATTGCAGCCATAGCTGGGATAGCCATATAGCGACACATACACAGCCTTAGCAGCACACCCACTCACACCCACCCACACACACACACACACACAGCCACAGCGATTGTTAACTTGAGCTGCAGACTTTGTTGATTTGTTTTAAATGGCGTTTATTGGCTTGTGTAATTTCTATTTTTTTTTAATGATCATAATGTATTATGGTTCTACTGTTGTAAACAAAAGTTTAATTCGACATTTAGGTAGCATATAGATATAAACATTTTGTACGATTAGGCTTAAAAGTGATCAAAAACTAAAATCACACATACATACACACACATACACACATATATACATATTATACAAATACATTGTAAGCGCCAAAAACAATCATTGTACAAATTGTTTAAATTGACTGCCGTTGGCATTGAACTTGTTTCAGCCGCATCAATTGAGCTGCTTAATGCCGTTAAAGCTTTGTTACATAATTGCAGTATGTAAGTCCAATTGTCATTAAAGTAGATTATTTAATAACCACTACGTGACGTCAACAAACGTTTAATGACCTTTAAACTTTAAATCCAAAGGTCAACTCTTCCGAATGGTTATAGATGCAATGGTTTTTCGATCAAGTGTTTATAGTCAGATCTGATCTTCAGATCTGTCCTTTATGTTTAGCTTTTTATGGTATTTTATTAGAAAGTAATTTACTTATAATAATAATTCACTTATATCTGCGCTATTTTATTTTCGCTTTCGACCTTATAGAAATCCGTATTTGCCAGCCTCAACTATTCAAAGCTTCCAAAACCAGGCACAGCAATTGTTTCACATAGCCATAAGCCAATATGCGAGTCTTATAGCTTAAGTAGCCATTCATATAAGTTCCTAGCTTATAATGATAATAATAAAAGTATGTGTGAATCTGTATGTTGGTAATTACTCAATCATAACGGCGCCTGTTCGTGCTGCACTCAAGCCTCTTTGAATTTTCCGGTTTGAGCAACATTGAGGAAATGCAGCCCACCTACGTCATAAAGCTAAAAAACAAAAAAATATATATGATATATTGTCGTCATGCAATATGCAACATGCAACAATATTTCAGAGCCGCCAAACAAATTGCCGTTAATTCCAGCCCACAAGTTTTCAGCAATTTTTTTAAAGTTTACTTTTTCTACAATTTTATGTTTGTAAGTTTATATTTTGAAAGTCGTATGACAACATGATCACCCATCACCAACATAAAACACAGGCCTGATGCAAAAATTAAGTTTTACTACCGATTTTGGCTAAATGTTTACTAAAGTGCGCTGTTGGATTACTTGGCGCCAGGTACCACACGGCCCCAAGGGTGTATGCAACTAAACAAGTTTCTCATTGCCGTTTTATGTTTTATCTGGCGCCAAAACAAAAAGTCATAGAAGAAAAAGCCGGTGTAAGTCACTTTAATTTATGAAAATCGTATAGAAAGGCGATTCGTATGTTAAGCTAATAGCAGACCGTGCGAGCGCAGAAGTGAAAGAGAGACCGAATTGTTGAAGACGGAAAAGAGAGTAAGGGAGAAGGAGAGAAAGGAAGGTAGAGAGAGAGAGAGCGAGAGAGAGAGAGAGAGGGAGAGAGAGAGGGAGAGAGAGAGAGAGAGAAAAAGAGAGAGAAAAAGAGAGAGAAAAAGAGAGAGAGAGAGGGGAAGAGAGCGAGTGGAAGAGCAGTATAGAAACTAAAAGAAAGAGAGAGAGTGTGTCAAAAACATGTTAGCTATGACTTTTAATAATAAAATTAAAACAATTTAATTATGATTTGTAAGCATGATTCTAAATGGAAGTCCGCTTAAGAATGGAAAAATCTGCGTACCTTATAAGCTATTTAGATTTGTATATATCCTATATTTCTTTAAGCTGGTGCGTTTATGCCGACATATATTAAAGCCAATGGGCTTAACTCCATCTCACGCCAGGATTAACTTAAGCGTCAATTAGCGCCCTCTTGGAACATCAAATCCGCAGGTACCAATTAAAGACACAACTGTTTGGCTGTATCTTCTGCCATGGTTTGGCTGGAGGGGTTTCTTAGACCTCTTCCAACCTATGGATCATGGTTGTGCAGTCCGACAGACACACATGCTTGTCCATATCGACTGAGTTTGACTGACCGATCAAGAATATAGATCTACCATATCATTTACATGCATGTCTTCGTTCACTTTCCGCCGGTGGAATTGCCGCAAATTCACGTTCAAACAAGTGAGAGGTTCTAGTCGGGAGCTCCCGACTAGGGGATACCCTAAACCCTCTTCTTCTAACATCAAATGCATATATATATTCTCTAGCTCTTATTATTTTCCAAAATTGCCCAAAAAACAGGATGTCGATATCGATATTTTTATCGATTGCTTGGAAACGAAGTAAGTTATCGATTATCGGAAACTAGATCTGCGCGGGAACTAGGAGCATCTACATCTAAAATTTCAAGTTTCTAGCTCTTATAGGTTCTGAGATCCTTGCGTTCATACATACGGACGGATGGACGGACAGACAGACGGACATGGCTAGATCGACTCGGCTATTGGTGCTGATCAAGAATATATCTACTTTATGGGGTCGGAGGTGCTTCCTTCTGCCTGTTACATACATTTGGATTTTGCACAAATACAATATACCCTTATACCCATTTTTAATGGGTTCAGGGTATAAAAAGTAAACTGGAAACATGTGTAAAATAACATACATCTATGCAAATATCTAGTATATGAGTGCAATTATTGAGCAAAGGACAATATTGGGGCAATATTGAGCTTCAGCGTATAATACGTATGCAAAAAAAAACATACTTCATTTGTATAAATAGCCAGACTTAAAGCGATATTTGTGCAAATGCGAATAACCTATGAGGTACACAAATTTTCTTTATCAAAAGGTAATGTTTAAACAAGCTTTGTGCGAATTTTTTTGCATGCGCCTATGTACATAATTATGTAGCTGCACATACATATGTGTGTACGTGTGTCTGTGTATGGCTTACCTGTGGCACGGCGACAGCAGCCTTGAACTTTCACCAACTGTTCAGGGGCATTTGCTTTGTTTTTGTTGCTTTTTTAAAGTGTGGGGTAGCCCACTTGTCTGTGGCCCAGAAACCGAAGCGGAGACTGTGTGTGTGTGTGTGTGTGTGTGTGTGCTTGTGGGTGTGAAAGGTAAATACGCTGACAACTCATCAAATACATGCACATGTACACGCACATGTACACGCACACGCACACGCACACGCACACGCACCCGTCTATAAAACTCGTTGTATATTCGAATTAAAATAACAAAGCTGATAAACAAAATGAAATTGGCAGCCAAGGCGGCTTTATTTAGCCGGCCAAAGCCACCGAAAGCCTTCAACTTGACTAAGCGCTCAATCGAGTTCAGGAAAATGTTGACACGCGGGCGCCGCCAGACGCCAGCTCGGGGCAGAAAACCAGCTACAGCCAACAGCCAACAGCACAACAGCTAACAGCTAACAAGTTGCAGCACTTTCGCTTTCAAGAAGCTGCGTGCCGTCGACAATATTATGCATATGAAAGAAGCCAATGAATCGATTAGATAAGTTATAGTTGGCTGGAGGGGAGTAGTAAACCAGCAGCAGGCAACATTGATTAGCTATTAACTAATAAGGTGCTTCACTTTCGCTAGCAAGAAGTTGCCTGACACCAACATAACAGAAGAAAGAAGCCAACGAATTTATTATATAAGTTCAAGTTGAGAAAAAACTTGAAACAGGCAACAGCAAATATGTAACAAGTAACAATTGCTTTCAAGAAGCTTCCGGGCTTCCCAACATAACAGAACAAAAAAGTAACAAATCGATTAGATAAGTTAAAGTTGAGGAAAAAAACGAACAGTTCACTTCGCATAACTAATTACTAACAAGTTGCAGCACTTGCGTTTTTAAGATGCTACCGGTGATGCTAATAATATGCACAAGAAAGAAGCCAATGAGTCGATTAGATAAGTTAAAGTTGGGAAGAGAGCTCGCAGCAGGCAACAGCGAAGAGAACAGCTAACGGTTGCACCACTTTCACTCTCAAGAAGAAAACAGAAGAAAGAAGTAACAAATCGTTTAGATAAGTTAAAGTTAAGAAGAAAAGAAGCGAAAGACAACAGCTAATAGCCCACAATTTTCTGCACTTTCGCCATTAAGAAGCTACCTAGCATGCCCAATACTAAGCAGTTGAAAGAAACCAACACATCGATTAGATAAGTTCAAGTTGAGAAGAAAACCAGCAACAGCTCCGTTTCATATCGAAATCAATCGAGTTTCAGCGCCTTTCCCTTTTGGTAAAAGCAACAACAAAATTAACAGCGAAAGTGAGAAAGACGGCCCAAGGTTCGGGGGCAACTGCAATATGCTGCAAACACAAACGTGTGTATATAAGTGTGTATAAAAGCTGTGTGTGTGGATATTGTCGCAAGTGTTCCAAAAATAACAAAAAGAAAAAGATTCGTTGCTCGCGTCTTGCAGCATTTTTCAAATAGTTTTCATTAGATTTGTGGCTGGAAATTGCTGACTCTTGACCACATGCTCATTTTCACAGCATTGCGCGGCTGATTTATACGCGCTTGGCTATAGATCAGGCACATATATCTGCATTAAATATATATGTACACACATATGTGTTGGAGTGTATTCACGCAGCAATAGTTAAAAACTGAAGAATTATGTGACCACTTTTGCCCCTAGACGACTTACACTTGAGTTATGTCAAACATAAACATTTTTTTCATGGCAATATTTTTCAACGAGACGATAAATCTTTTAGTTTTTTTATTATTTATTTATTTATTTTTTTTTTAATGTATGTTTATTAGCATCCACGATCAAATGCCGATGTGCCTCCATAAAAAGCATATCCATTGAAAATCAAGCTACGTGACTTTGATTTTCTATGCTTCTTTTTGATGCATTCGTAAATGTTCTACTGGCAGCTCTTCTGCTAGGCTAAACTTCATTTGGTTTTCTAAATCCTTTTCTATGCTTTTTCAAATATTTCACAAAACCAGTTGCCATTATACTAGGCCTAGAAGCTTTTCCATCTTTTTATACTTGATGAATCGCATATATTATGTGTCCGGCTGCCCAAAAGTCAGCTACCTTCGGAATGACGCACATGGAATATGGTTATATATTGGACATATTAATCGATTGAATGCAAATTGCATTATTCAGAATATCATGAATGGAATATTATGTCATGTGACCCGCTAAACACCAAACTTAGCTGCAGTCAGAAAGCTTTGGCTTTACAAATAATCACGTCACCAAAGACCCGAAATGACGACATTTGGCCGGCAACGTCAGCTTTAGTTTCAAATATGTACATACTGGTAAATGCGCATACATATTTATGTATATATTTCGTTGTATTTGGTATTGCTTACAATTTAAGTTTTGTTTTATTTCGGTTTGGCTTCAATGTTGTATAATGGACAGTATGGGCGACAGCAATTGCAGTTGCTTTGTGCTTCCATGTCAAATCACGTTCGAGTTATCACTTTTGAAATGAAATACAATAAATACTATTTTTAATTAAATTGTCTCGCAGAACTAGTTAATTATCAAATTTGAATATTCATAACTATACATACTCGATTATATTACGACATTTGCGACGCTGGCTTCTTTGAAAAAAAACAAAAAATGCCTGCGCATATGATTCATGCCGAACTCGTCGTCTTCCATTTTTGGTAAATTCGAAAATTTCTTGATATTATTTTACACTCTTTTACAATACAGACACACTGTTGCTTATGAATCACAAGTTCAGTTTTAGCCATATGTTTCATAAAAAGCTTCCTCAAGTTTAAATGTTCATGTGTCAGTTTGATTTTGATCAACATCTTTGCCCTTAGTTTCAACATGCGC